TCCCTCGCTGATTCGGTGGAAGAAATAATAAAAAGAAGCACGCTTCTGCACATTTTCCGAGCGCCGCGACTGGCTTATCACGTGGTACGGATCTGGGACCGTCATTGGCCGCTGCGGACCTGTATGTGCTGTGAAGTCCATTTGCGGGGTCCATGTCTCGTCGAGCAGCGCAGCTGAACAATGCTTTTCTCGTGTAATTATCTCCGTTATGAAGGAAAAAAGCATTGCTCGCAAGTGAAAGCCGTTGTGTGGCTTTCACTTGCGACCAATGCATCAAAATCAAACCATCTTGCGATCAATGCCAAACTTGCGGTCAATGCATCAAAATCAAAACCAATGCATCAAAAGTCATTCCCCCGTCAATTGGAAAATTCGTGATGCGGCAATGGATGACGTCATCACCAATCTTGCGAGGTTGAAAGAGCTCCCAGTGAGAGAACTTAGCAGGGACGACATTGCCATTATGCACGACGGTATGTGGCACAAACATGGCCGCAAAATGGCATGACACTGGACTTAGTTTGTGTTTCGCAGTCCTGTCGAACTTCTTCCTGGCTTGCAGTTGGCATAAGGCTCTGCCAGATGGAGCGGAAATTCGGCAAGCGTTTCATGGCCCTGTCTGTGAGGAGTCGGCTCGAAAAAGCCGAGAGGGACAAACTCATGGGGCTGACGTATTTTAGTCGCAGTGGCCACTACAAGAAGCATTGTTCTTTTTGGTGTGCAAGTTTCATCAGATTTAATGATATCTTTCATAAATAAAAACTCAATTTTAACTTAAGTCATTTAGCTCAAAACACAAATTTTGCCATTTTTTTTCAATGTGCCCCTCCTTTTTCGGGCAATTCTAGTACTCAGATCTGCATGAAATTTCGCCCAAATTTTTTCTAAACTATGGCAATTGCAATTACCTAGTTTAAATTTCAATATTTTATTGTATAATAAAAAAAATTATGTAAACCTTTACTAGGATAAGTGAAGTACGGACTTTTTACATCTATTATTTTTCACGCCAATTACATATTTTGTATGTGCTTCCTAATTAGTTATTTACATTCTACACTTTATTTCAACCATTATGAATTGTGAATGGTAAAAAATTATGGAAGTTCAGGGATGAAAAGAGAGGGGCAAAAGGGTTAAGGTTTTTAATTTGTCATTTTGCAGAGCTAAAAATAAGTAACTTGCAAGAAAATTAATTTTATATTTGAAATCGGCATAAAAAGTTTCATAATCAGCTCAAGTTTCATTGCTCTAGGGTGAATATTAAAAAAAAAAATGTCCTCGGGAGATGCTAAACGAGAAATGCAAGTTTTTTTTTCCCCAAAGTTACATAGTTTTCGTCTTTGTTTTCTCAAGTATAGTTTCTCTATTCACAACAAAAAAATGAAAGTTGTAATTAAGCTGAAAATTGTAATTAAAGTAGGTTAAAATCGCTTTTAAAGAGCACAAGGTGGCTACCAAAGACTAAAAAGAGCTCATTGTCTAGAGTCCCCTGTAAATTGTCCCATGGCTGCTTGCCATTGCATTTTGCATGAGGAGTTCACTAAATAACATGTCCCAAAACTAAGGAGTTCATTAAATCCACATGCTCAAAACAACAATGATTGCCAAGCTCTCACGATGGAAGAAGCCATTTTAAAAATTATATGTTTGCTGCATAGATGAGCTTTGACTTACACCTTTAAAATGTGTTTATCTCAAGCATAAAAAAATTCTATATATACAGCGAAAATTGCATTGCCCTAGCCTACAAATTCACGAAACGTCTTTTTCAAGTCACATCTCCCCTCAATACTTATGCTTAACGTGTTTCGCTGTAACCTCCACGAAGTGACTGATGCACGACTCCCGGGATGCTGTGCTCGTCATCATCTCGGATATCGGCTGCAGTCGTTTAATGTGTGACTAAATAAACAATTCAAGGACCGCATCACAAGGTCCGTAATGTCACAAGTGACTCCTGCCGGACGGATGAAACGGGCCTCGCCAGTGGTGCTGTGCACATGGATTGCTGAAGCTTGGGTCTGTATTCCCTAGGCGCCTGTTCGTCGTGCCCTCAAGAAGAGCTCAATTTCAAACGTCCATGATGGTACTGAAGATGAAATGCGATACGAGCACATCTTTGACCATGGAGTGTTGGAAGAAAATTCCCAGATGACGATGAATGAGTGTATGAAGAAATGTATTTAGTTTCTGTTTTGCTCGGGCTATACTAGGGTGAAAACATTTTTTATCCCATCTGCTACAATTCTGGTTTACCTCCCTGCCTTTCTTTCAATTTATTCCTGCTCTCCCTCTTCTTCCATTCGCTATCCCCCAAATACAACTCAGACTATGTGTGGGTCCGGACTATTCGCAAGCTTAAGGTATTTCTTGTGTCTTGACACAAATAGATTTAGTTCGGAGTGCCACCTGTGTCGGCGTCCTCGTCTTCTTTTCTTGCGTGTGTGTTTGTGTTTTGTAGCGGCTAACTATGCATTCAGTATCTCGCCAACTAGGCCAAGAGTGAGTTTTTCTCGTGCAATGAAGTCAGCAGCTGATTTAAACATTGGATGCTCTGGGATCCCCTAGTGACGCATTGGCTGCCATGAGTCACTTAAGTTGTTGCTTCAGGTTTTACAGCAAAAGCTGTTCTAAAGTTCACAACAGCCAATTTCTGGTGGCATAGTTGTCTGCCACCGCCGGTACTTTTAGCTAGCCACTATCACACACAATGCCGAAAACAACAACAACAAAAAAAAATCACCCCAGGCCCACTCTGGATAGTCAAGTATTCTGTTATAGAGAGAGCCAATGCTTTAATCTTTTTTTTTTTTTTTTTTCAGAAATACCCTATACGGGCGCAGTTGTCGGTCAAGGATATAGCATGGTAGACAGAATGACAAAGAGCAGCATTATGGTCCTGAGAAGCGCCGCTTCTATAGCAGCTCACATCGTGGCGTCATCGCCCACGGGTGGGGCCTAGCCTCACTGCTGCATCTTGGGCTCTCTAGACAATGTAGAAGAGTAAAATAACACTAGGTGTCACACAATGCAAATTGCATAATGAGTTGACGATTTAAATATTCCCACCCTTACTAAAGCTTCCCACCCTTAATAAGGCACAGCATCAACAAGGTCTCTAAGAACTTTACAGATGTGTAGTGGGTACTCTGCTTCTCTTCAGAATGATGAATATTAGCATAGTGGGTACTTCTTCTACTTTGCAAAATTATGATGATTCATAGTGTAGTGGGTACCTTGCAGCGTTTGCTGGAACTGAGCTGCGTGTTCTGTGTAGGCTTAGCATTTGCTGAAGCACGCTGTAGTTAGTGTTATACTGCAGCATTGTTAGCTGACTCAAGCACCTAGTGAAAAGTTTTGGGACATTATAAGGGACTTGGATTGCCTTTGGAGATGGATCAGGTATTTCATTGCATTTATTGGTTGTTCTCAAGTCTGTGGTCGCTATGATGTAAACTGTTCCAACCTGTTTTTGTTTCATTTTGACTTCATGATCGAAATTGTTGGGGCCATGTCAGTTTCAGAAGCTGCTTATGAATGACTAGGCTGAAAAAAAGAAATGGTAATTCTACTATTTTCTATTTGTCAGAATTTTGGCCTTGTCTCTCTCTCCCTGCACATCACGTAATGTCAAAAAACCGTGAAAACTCACATTTTCAAAGTAGTAGATATGCGTTAGCATGAATTATTGAGAAAACTTGAGTCTATGTTATATCGAATATGTAGTTCTAGAGACTGTCTTGTTTCTGAGAGGCTCCCCTGTGATTACTCTGGCAACTCTTCTTTGCTGACACCCCGCCGCGGTGGTCTAGTGGCTAAGGTACTCCGCTGCTGACCCGCAGGTCGCGGGATCGAATCCCGGCTGCGGCGGCTGCATTTCCGATGCAGGCGGAAATGTTGTAGGCCCGTGTGCTCAGATTTGTGTGCACGTTAAAGAACCCCAGGTGGTCGAAATTTCCGGAGCCCTCCACTACGGCGTCTCTCATAATCATATAGTGGTTTTGGGACGTTAAACCTCACATATCAATCAATCTTCTTTGCTGAGGATTCATTTTCACGTCATTTTTGCAACCCTATTGGGACCACCTTAGAACTAAGCAAGGAAAAGTTGACCATTTGGAAATGCTAGTGCAGTCATCTTGCCCCAGTGATATACTCTTGCTTCACTAGCTTGGCCCTGCCAAAACCCACTGTTTTTACATATTGCAAGTGGGTTCCATCCAGTCTAGTTTCTACTTAGGTGCTACATAGACTGCCTAGCTTCCTAATACACACAAGTGTGCGCACACACACACCTCGGTGCTTATTAACTTTGGATGCTTTCTACTCTAATAATGCAGACCAAACACACTCATGAATTAGTAATAAAACAAACCAAACATTTATTTGTGATTTCCTAAAAAGGGCAATCTCGGTGCCTTGTTGGTGCACAGAGCAGGAAATGAGTAGGCCAGAATGTATTTCAAGCAGTTATCTTTGAAGCGGTCGCAGCCTCCCGGCGTTCATCTTCACCGCTCTCCTGGGTGCTTCTTCAATGATTTTGGCAATCTGCTTTTGGCAGCTATCGATGTCGGTCCCTTTGGCCAGTCAGCACATGGATTGTCATGTTTGTAAATTGCTTGATGTCACTTGGGAGGGTGGCGAGGAGGTTGTGTGAGAGAAAATTAGCTGGTGTGCCTTGCGGTGGGAGAAATGGTGGAATTCTTCCATTTCCCACAGCTCTTCCTGACTTGCATGAGCTAGTGAGATTGAGCAAAAGTGTAGGATATGGTAATGCTCGTGACTTTTAATACCAAACAGAAGAGGACCTTTTGTAAATGAGGAGAGCTTTTTGTTGGGCTCTTCAGAATAGTTTGAAGGTGCTTGGCTAGGCTAGTGTTAACAAGTACATGAAACTTCGCATCAGGAGATAGGAATAAAGTCATGATAAACTAGCTTTTCGTTCCATCGCCCCCTGTCCATGCATATGAAGGTGACACATGTTTTATTCATTCCAGGCCAAGATCCTCTGCAGTAGCAATTGTAAATGTGTTGGCTGCAAGAACTTTGAGGACAGCTCGGAGCGCAAGACATTGATGCAGTTGGCAGATGCAGCTGAAGTGCGTGTGCAACAGCAGGCTGCTGCTCGCACCAAGATGTCGGCCTGTGACCTGCCCATCCGACCTGCTCCAGTGTCTGAGACGGGAGAAAGGTGAAATAAGTTTGTGGCTTGTTTTGTGTATGCGCTCCGACTTATGTAGCATATGTCTCTGCTCAATGTCTAGTTTGCATTTGTGTGCATTGTTAAAAATGGTCCTCCGTTATTTATATCCAAACGGTCCTTAGCCTTGTGTCATGCCACGTATTTTTTTATATAATGATGAAGAGTCATTATTAGACCTCAAGCCTCTCCTGGTCTTCTCTCATGTTACTATCACTCAAATCAAAGCATCATTGATGTACTAACCCATCATACTCACACCGCAGAAGAAAAGCAAGGAGAAATAATATTCAGATGTTTAAAAAAAAAAAGATTTAAAATGAGGATATTGGAGGCATTGTCATACATCTATTGTATATTCTTGTGTAGAGAATATACACAGGCTATTCAAAGGACTTTGTGACAGTCCATTGGGTGGCGAGAACACTATCAAAACGATGGCCTTCCAAGCTTCTCTTCAAATTTAGTAATTTTGAGCACGTTTACTTACACCCGAGAATGTCACTTTCTTGTGGTGCACTTCTGCATGACAAAGAGAACTGTACTTTGGAAATCATGGTTATGGTGAGTAATTAAGTAGCACAAGGGATACTCATTTCAAGCAGCACTTATTGAGTAGGCTTGTATGAATATTGAAATGAATATTACAGTATTTTGATTTACTTCGATTGGAACTTAAGCTATTCGAATTTTAGTGCACTAATATTCTAATGAATATTACATTATTTGAATTTGCTGCTCTCCTCTACGGCGTCTCTCATAATCATATGTTGGTTTTGGGACGTTAAACCCCACAAATCAATCATTATTTGAATTTGCTTCGGTAAAAACGGAAATTATTAAAAATTTCGAATTGGCGAATAGGGCTATATACCTTATGTGAAATCTGCTGCCATCTATCGGCTGCTGTGCGTATTTCCGGCATGTTGAAGGCTAAGCGCCCTTTGCTTGTGGACATTTGGAGTTGACGTATGAATGTGTGTGGGCGCTGATAGAAAGCTCCCACTGCAGTCACCAAAGGGCTGAGAATGGGTGTTGTTGCATACTTTGCTTTGCCGAACGTGTATGTTTCTGTGTGCAGGCTGCCGTTTGCCTTCATGACTCAGGACGTGGCGGAGGCCACGTGCCAGTGCCTACTTGCACGGGCTGAAGAGACCAAGCGTCTCAAGAAGTCCTTTGTCGATATGGAGCGCTCCGTGCTGGAGGAGTTTGGCCGCTGCCTGGAATCTATCATTGACAGTGCACACCGAACCAAGGCAAAGCAGCCAACTGTCGACACTTCGGAGAAGAAAAGCGTACCTGCCACCCTCCCGCCAGAGCGTGCTGCATCGCGCAGAATTAAGACGGCCCGACGTATGCTCAACCTCTAACCTGCCTTCTGTCATCACCAGGGGGAAGTGGACTGGAGGACTCCTCGGGTGTCCTGAAGCTGCGTGGTGCGGTCCGTTAAGCGAAGGCGTCTCCTGGAAACGCGCTGTACGATTGCCCCCCACCCCTCTTTCTTTTTTTGCCGTTTCCTGTTTTCCGCGAGTGCTGCTTGGCCAAGCAGATGTGCATAGCTAATGCTGTTCGATTGTCAGCATGAAATTTTTTTTAATCTGGTGTATTAATTATAACTGTTCAGAACACATTGAATGCTTGCTGCTTGAACAGTGCACTTGGTTGGAAGACATTTGGCCTTGTTTATTTTCTCCATCACACAGAGTATAAATTGAGTGTTCCTGTTGGTGTGCTGTCTTACTAGTAAGGTTGCCTTGTTTCTTTGTCATTGCAAAGGTAGGCTTGGCAGGAGGTGGGTAGCATAGTTTGCACATTGGTGTGAGCATGCGTTTATAGGATACAACACTGAAAAAAAAATTGTCAGTACAACGATACAGGCATTGGTGTTTACTGCTTGTACTGGTCCCATATTTAAAATTTTTTTTTCAACCATTGTATCTTATAAGGTGTGAACCTTGGTCTTGTCTTGAAAATAGACGGAAGGAAACACCCGTTGCCCAGTTTAAATGTGTGCTTACGTGAGCCTTTATGTATGTTTTATTTGCTTGTGCAGGCAGTGTGGGAATGCCTGAATTTTGCTGTTTTTCTTGAGCTCTGACATTATGTGCGTTTGTAAATATAAGCATTTGATTGTTTAAGTTATGCTATATACTAGTCAGCATCTTCATGCATATTCCCAGAGTATGTTTTATCCTTCTTTGACTTATTCTTCACAAAGCTTCATTAATGTGCTGTTTGGGTTGTGGCTCTCTAACGTTTCTTTTTTCACTTTTGTGTCTGCTTTTGCTGTTAAGGGGGAGATTTATTTGGAAAACACGAGTATTTTTTTTTTGTAAAATTACATATTTTTTGTTGTCATTTGGTCTTGTCTTGAAAATAGACGGAAGGAAACACCCGTTGCCCAGTTTAAATGTGTGCTTACGTGAGCCTTTATGTATGTTTTATTTGCTTGTGCAGGCAGTGTGGGAATGCCTGAATTTTCTGTTTTCTTGAGCTCTGACATTATTGCCGTTTGTAAATATAAGCATTTGATTGTTTAAGTTATGCTATATACTAGTCAGCATCTTCATGCATATTCACCAGAGTATGTTTTATCCTTCTTTTGACTTATTCTTCACAAAGCTTCATTAATGTGCTGTTTGGGTTGTGGCTCTCTTAACTTTTCTTTTTTCACTTTTGTGTCATGCTTTTGCTGTTAAGGGGAGATGTGATTTGGAAAACACGAGTTTTTTTTTTTTGTAAAATTACATATTTTTTGTTGTCATTTGCTTTGAGAAGTTTGGTTTTTCTAGTTTCACAGGGAAAAAAAATGAAGATTGTAATTAAACACGAAGTACGTTAAAATTTCTTTTAAAGAGCACAAGGTGGCTATCAAAAACTAAAGAGAGCTTATTGTCTAGAGTCCCCTGGAAGTTATCACCTGACTGCTTGCCATTGCATTTCGCATGAGGAGTTTACTAAAACCACATGCTCAAAATGAAAATGATTGCCAAGCTTGCATGATGGAAAAAATCATTTTAAAAAACATATCTTTGCCCCATAGATGAGACCTATGTCCTTTAAAACCATTTTTCTCATGATTTATCGTTGGGCAACTTTATGAAATCAGGCATGTTTTTGGTACTTCTGATGGCCAGATCAGGATGAAATTTTGTCCAGATGTTCCTTAATATGTGAAGGGTGCAAGTATCTCTTATAATATAATTATTACAATGCTAAAGCAAACTATTAGTTTAGACTGACAATTCTCAGAATTCTCACACAATTTTTTGTGCCCATTACAATGTTTTATATGCACTTTCTTGATAGTTCATTCTACAGTTAATGAGGAGCAATGTGAGCCATTGATCGCTCAGAACCATAAAAGTTTAGTGGCATAAAAAGTTTGTTCACACAATATTTCACAGATTGTCATGGCACAGATTGTCCCAACAATGTTTTACAAATTATCATGGCAGAAAACGAAAACTGTGCAAGTTACTACAAGATTACATATTTTAAATCAGCATAAACGCCTAATATATACAGCATAAAATTTCATTGCCCTATCCTACAAACTAATGCAACTTTTTTTCCTCAAATCGCATCTACCCTTAATTGGTTGTGTCTGTTTGTTAAGAAAGGCAGATTGTATGTTTGGTGGCTCCTGTCATTTTTGATTCACCTAATATGTCTTTTCATTAATTTCTTTACTAATACTGGGTGTGCTGTGTGTGATGGTGGTGGTTACGGTTACGCCCCTAAAGGATGTGAAAAGTTGTGTGTAGATAGAGATAATTAGGCTGTATTTCGAAACATACATGATGATGTAGATATGCATTGTAACTTTTGAAAAAAAAAGAGAGTCCTGAAAGATTTCTGAAAAAAAGATTGCCAGATTGGAAAGAATGTGCAGCACACATGGCTCGTTGAGTATTCATTATGTGCTTACTGCTATTAATGAAATGCTTTTTTCAAAGCAATCATCAAATTTTGTGCTTATTAGCAATTTTTCTTTTATTTATATATTTAGGGCTTCGCTAGAGTGTGTGTGAGCCAAAGGTGACAGAATGGCATGCTTTGGCCATTATATCACCATTAATTGGTGACAGTAAGCTGTTTATCAAACGCATTAATGTCAGTTACAAAATCAAAACATGGAAGATGGTTTTTAAATGTGCAGTTTTTTAAATGTGCAGTTCAAACATTGTTCACGTACTACTCATCATGTAAATGTGCTGTTATAAGAGACTGCACTTGAACATTTTGTGTGCAGCTCTAAGTGACTGAAAATGCGTTCAGGAGAGTTGCTTGTTGGGCAAGTTGGAAACCGAACATTGACACCTCGAAGTTTTACGTTGGACAATCTGATCTATGTGTCAATGTATGGTTTAGGGAGCATGAAAATCTTCTACCCTGGGCACTGGTGGTAACTTGCCGTTGCATTGCAAGTTGTGTGGTTGTACACCCCTGTTTGATAAGGTTACAATTTTAGGTAAGGCTAAGACACAGCGAGAACGGGAGATTATTGAGGCATTCCATACGTGGAAACTTGGTCCAGCCAAATGTGCTAGAGCAGTTTCGGTTTATCTCACCAGGAAAGAATGTTTGTTTTTAGCACAGAGGTGATCTGCATAGATTAGCTTGGTTTTTTGGTTTGTTATCTGCGCATGTGTTGCATGGACTTAAGAGGAAGTTATTTTCCGAAATAAACATCGGTTGTTAGTGCCACGTCTCTGCCCTCTGTTTCTGCTGCTCTGCTTTTTTCCCGATTTCGAAGTGTTGTGGCTTCATTTGTAGTTGACTCAAAGTGACTGAAAATGAATGAATTATTCTTTCTTCATGCCATGACCAAGTAGTTAAAGCACCTAGGTGCTGTCTATGAATGCATTGGCACTATTGCAAATGGTACATTGACATCATGCTCGTAAAGCTGGAGTTATTGGTTGAATGAAAGAGACTTTAAGGTTATCCAATTTACTCAGAACGAGATCCTTTTGTCTCATACATGTAAGTGCTTGATGCTCATTGGTGTATGTATTGCATGGACAGAAAGATTTGCTAGTTATTTTCCTCAAGTGGTCCCATGATTTAGGTTTATCTTAACACAGTTTAGTGTCTCAGAATGTTTTGTGTCTGGGAGGGCAGACGTGTTTAAATGCCATGTTCATTATCATAGCCACATTTTTCAGTGCAAAATGCCATGTTCATTATCATAGCCACATTTTCAGCGTAGATGTGAAATAAAATTTGTGGACTGTGGAATGAGAACTTTGGTTTTGTATCCATTTGTGTTTGTCTATTTGTGTTTTGCTCCATGCATAGGGCAGAGACAGAGGAATCAAGGCCTACAGTTCTGCCGGAGAAAACTAATAAACTTTCATGTCCATTGTGATTACTTTCTTCTTTTTTCAATTATTTTCCCCCTCAATTTCTGTATCTACTGTTTACTGTAGCAGCCTGTCAACATGAGCTGCTGGAGCTGTTCACTGGTGCTTGTGTACATGGTCAAGCTCGCAGCTGTGTCACCATGCAATGTCTATTATCTTCCTAAGATATTTGCTTTGTTTGTTTTGCTTTATATACAATATATATAGTGGAAGAATCTTGCGATGCAGTGTACATTCATGTTTATAAAAGAGACACCTCATTTTTTCTAGCAAATAGTGGGCAGTGCTTTTTTTTGTGCATCACTGGTATTTCGAGACAGAGTTGTCATATTTATTTCTCTGTACAGCCACTCGGAATAAATGTTTTAAGTTCCAGTAACCTATTTCGACAACTAGCATCTCTGCATCACTGCTACCAGTGTGCAAAGCATGCATTGCTTTTTCTCCTGTTGGGCAGTTTTTTGTGCAACATTCACACCACAATTTTGGAGACGCTATATGTTGAAACATTTGCATATGATGGGAAATTGGCAACTCTTTCCATTCACAGAAAAAGGAAGCACTGTCCATCAACTGGAAAGAGCAATCTCTTCAGGCAAGTAATTTTTTACTTCACCCATCTGCTTTGCAGCTCAGTGTTGTGGTACAGTAACAAGGATGTATCACCTGGGGCTAGTCGTTGCAGGCTGGTAAGCTTGAATTATTCACCAAAATTATTTGGTTTCCATGCCCAGATGCAGTACGCTTCTCTGGTCAAGTACATGCAGTAATTTATAGGCTGTGAAAAAATTGATTTCAGTTTGACTAAGCTGTTAGGCGTTTGACTGTATGTTTCTTATTAGCAGCCTCTAAGCATCAGTAAAGCAGGTAATACGTGTACGTGGTGGTTGGCGGCTATGACACAGGTCCTACCACATTGTCTTAGAGATGTTTCGGCATGCAACAGCTGGTGCACCAATGTCGGAGGTCGTGTCAAGAAGCAGCGCTTTATTAGTTACTTCCAATGAGCTAGCAAAAAGGGCAAGGAGGACGGGAAGGCCACCAGCTCCATTGTTTCCCCAGTCTATGCACCACTAGTGCGTGATTGCCCTCTGTTTTTTTTTCATTGATCATTTTGGATCAACTTTCCCTTTGCTGAATGATTCTCACTTGCTCGGATCCCAAGGCATGATATGGGATGAGAAGCACATGCGATTTCAATCTTCATGCAAGGTTGGTGCGAGATGTTATGTGCTTATGTGAATTTTGGGATGGCAACTTTCATTGGCGCGGGAACATGCGCTGTGTTGGGTGCCATCTTTGGAACCACTTTCTCACACCATCTTTGTGTGAAGTGTGTGTGAAGAACTTAGGGTACCGTCCTTCATGGAATGGTCTTGATCCTCACTGGCAGTTCTCGATTTGTACAGTTTCAGTGCTGACTCCAGTAGTTCTCCAGGTGCTCTAAATAAAATAATCAAAAACATTACCGATCATGCCCTTACAGCAGAGAGCAGTTGAGAGAGTGGGACATGTGAATTGCACAGTTATCACATTAAGATTGAGCGCGGATATCTGTGCATGGCATTGAATATGCCAGGCAGAAAACGGTAGATTTTGCATGGAGGGACTTGGTTTTTCTAGGTATAAGAATGTAAAGAAGTTAAATTTGAAACTCGCAGCAGAGTGTAAGCAACCAAACACCAAGTGAGCTCATGCGACAAAAACAGGCTAGGATTGCATGTATGCAACTGTCGCCTGAGAATGTATGTTCTCGGTGTATAAGGAGTGAAAGTGCACTCGCACACTTGAAGCACATTCAAATGCACCCTGCAAAGTAAATTTCACCCACTTCATCATCTTTGGAGAGTTGAGTGGAAGAAATCTGAGAGGAGCTCTTCTATGTTGACTTGCATGTAGGGCTGTGCAAATGTACTTTTTAAAAACCGAACTGAACAGTGATGACATCAAACATAATGCAAACCAAATACCTTTACAATAACAAAACAGTGGTCAAGTTTCACCACTTGGAGCATTACTGAATTTGAACCAGCAACAAAATAAGATCGGAATGCTGTGCACTGAAACAAGCTTGACATCGGTGACCATGATGCCCGAGGTGTTATTTTGTCACATTGCATAGAAGTGAGTTCCTGCAAAAGCAGCCCTGACTATATAGTATTTACAGTGCTATTTTTTTTTTAGGGGCGAAGCTCCTTAGGGCGTGGGCTGTGCGTCTCCTGTAGCCTGTATGTAGCCACCTCTAGTTTAGTTCTTGCAGTGTTCACTAGATGGTGGTACTTGTAGCTGATGATGAAAAGATGCAAGATGTTATAAACTAGAAAGCGGTACTTGTAGTTGATGAAAGACGCGAGATCTTATAAAATAGGAATGATGTCACATATGGCGCGTGTCATTGGTTGAAGGCAATCGTTCGATTTAGTGCGGCGACGTACGCTAGGGGGAGCGTTGTAATAAAATCCGTTCGCTGTTGGCGCGCGCTCGGAGTCGCCGGATGGATAAGGCTGCACAGCGGAGAGAGCGCAAGGCGGCAGCAGCGCGCGCTCGCAGACAGAATCCAGATGTGCGAGCGTGCGAGGCAAGGGACATCGCAAGCCATCCATCGTCTAAGAACAAATAAAAGTTGATTTGTGTATATACACACACAGCGTTTCTCACGTCTTTACATGATGATCGACTGGGCGAATTACACGGAAGATTCACAGTTTACCGATGAATCCCTCCGGAGCTTTGCCCATTCATCATCATTCACCCCGTGAATATGCCGTAATTTTTTTACGGTATCTTAACTAAAAGTCAGGTACTGAAGTTGAAGTGTTCAGCAAAATAGTAACTTCACAAATCAAGCAAGAGTACGAAGTACTGCTTAGAGTATGCAATGAAAAATTCGTGAATGGGGTGTGTGTGCTGGAGCCGAAGTGGACTTGTCGTTTTCAAGGCTGCGTGAAGAAGACAAGCTTGCCTGTCAAAACGTCGGCTCCAGCACACACATCCTGTTCAATAATTTTTCACTGCAAACTTCCATCTTCCCCTTCTTGTCCAGATTATGGTCACACAAAAGCTATACAGTGCAACAAGATGGGTGTAAACTAACTCCCGCAACATTTTCGTGCAAGTATGCCGAACTCGCACAATTTTAATGCACGTTTGTCTTCCTCGCAGCCTTATGATAATATTCTTGTGCAAGTATGCCAAACTCATTGCGCATATTTTAATGCGAGTTTGTATTTTCTCCTTTGATTTCCCTCTAATATCTGATTACCAGTGTATAGAATGTGTCCTGCAAGTATTTAAGAGCAGCGATCGTCTAGACAGAGAGTTTCAGCAAGTTAAGAAATCTGGTACAGTACGGCGGTATCGCTTCGTTCCTGGCTGTTGACCGTTTCCTAGTAAAGTTGCCCCAACATCACAAAAGCTTTTTCAAAATCAAAAGTTACTGTGGAGTTGTCATGCCTCATTATTGCCTTTCAGCCTATGGATTGTTAACGACACAATTGTCGTCTGGGTGACGCACTGTCACTACAAAAAAAGGAGTGCTTCTGTATTTGTGTTCTGTATATCTGTAACTTGCTAAAGCTCTCTATTATAAACTCCAGCTAAAATCTTTAACTTGCAATTCATGTAAAATATTAGAACAGATAGTCGCACATTACATTACCCCGTTTCTTTAAGAAAATGGTTTTATGTTGCTTGCCATTCCAACATGGTGTTAGCAATAACATTATCGACAACAGAACTGGTTGCTAAATTTCGAAAATTCGCTTTGTTGTCTCTTGTGTGAAGTCAAATTTATGCTATTTTCTTACATTTTGTTTGGTAGGGCCTTTCACCCTGTTAAGCTTAGCGAACTCTCTTCAAAATTGTGCCGCATAGGCCTATCTGTTAACCTAATCAGCTGGATTCATTCTTACTTTTCTGATCAAAAGCAGTGTGTTCATGTAAATGAATGCTAGTATGACATACTGACAGCGCAGTGTTCTGCAGCTTGTCTTTTCAATGTAAATTAGTGACAGTAAACCATCCTTGTTACTCTGCATGACCGATGTATACAGTGCAGTAGATAATATGGACGAGAAGCAGAGAAAGACAGGTGCAGACTATCAACTAAAATACAGCTATATTGCATAAGCACAAACATGATCACACCCAGACGATCAAATTGTCAGAAATCATTGCCATTAAAAAAAATAGCAATACTCTAGCATATTCATTTCTGAATGAGATTTGGTTCCAGGATTTTAACATGTTGATACCGATCTCTAGAATTACTACAAATCTGGATGCTGATTCTGAAATACAGTTTTTGTTTCTTGGTGATGTTTCACAACATTGTCACCATACAGGGTGCCTCATGAAAACAATGCTTTGGACCATTCATGCCTGTGCAGCTCATGAACATAGCTAAAAGAACAATATAAAAAAAAGTGTCGGACGAAGACAGTCATGAGAAGGCCCTGAGCCGCAAGCAAGAGGGATCCTTACGCTTGCGGCCTGCCCATAGCTGTCTTCGGCCAAAATTTGTTAAAATTGTTCTTAATGGGTATGTAAACACGCCGCATGCAGCCCTCCCATGCGGCGTGTTTTAGAGCTCTGGTCAAGGCAAACTAGACATGCGTATGCACACTCATTTGAACCTTACTTCACATGGATAAATGGTTTTCTGTATTCTTTTCTTTTTATTCAAACCATAAATGAATGAAATACATCAGTACTGGGATCGTCTTGTGAAAAAGGATATTTCTGACTTTGACAACTATGTGTTTTACTGATCATGACCATATGATATAAACCGCTGGTATAGCCAGGGGAGTGGTTTAATGATGCCTCCCCCCTCTCTGAAAAAAAAAAAAAAGTTCTGCCCTGACATAAACTATAATGCTCTTCCATAACATATTCCATAGAAATCTTCTTTGCTAGTTATGCTATGCTGTGTCTCACTAGATTTTATTGTATACATGACAGTCTGTGAGTGAGTTAAAATATACGCATGTGAATTCAAAACAATGAAGGACATTTTGACGGGCCCTGGGTGTGAATACCGTTTTCATTGTTTTCATTTTTTTGTAATTAAGAAAGTTGTTTTGTCATATAATGTTTTAGGCACTCCTTCTTGGTCCTCCAACCGCTGCGTGTTTCAAATAAATAAAAGCCAACACGAGGTCAGTGGCACATCAACAACAGTACAATGCGAGAATCAAAGTGACATGACCCGAAATGAAAACTGTGCCCACAGTGTTATGATAGATTAGACTGTGGGCTCAGTTTGGTTAGTCCAAGGTTGCACATGAAAAAAAAAAACACTCACTGTTGGAACTTTTCTTATTAATCTAAAAAACAAAAAGATGCAGACGTGGACGGGGGTGAAGGACAAGGGACAATCAATGTTTGTTAAAAGTATTTCATAGGTGGTGCGGATTCTGGGAATGCTAGTCAATTAATATTTGAAGTTTAAGATACATTTAGAAGTGTATTTATTTAATTTCATTATTCCAAATGCTTCACACTCTTTTATGCAGAATAGTGAAAGCATGGTGTTGTAAGCCATTGAGGAATGATAACCAAAGGCAGTGTTTATCCAGTGTTCACTGGTAATCTTGTATACAGGACATTAAAAAAAGATCACAAATAGATGAGCAGTACATAAGTGATGATTTTTATTCTTGTCTTTGTCCAATCGTGATATCCTGTTTGTTGAGCATGCCCATTGCTTTTACTGTGCTGCAGGGATTTGGTTTATCTTGTGACTACGATAAGATATCCTTACACTGTTCTGCCTTGTCTACAGGCTTGAATGTGCTCTATGAGGCTGCAGAGATGATATGACACAGAGCCCTGGTTTTTTTTACAATGTCTTGGTACATGGCAGTGACAAGATAGAGGACACCAAAAAAGGCAAAGGCACTGCATTGATGTGAATGGTAAGATAGGCTAAGTGTACTTGGGTGGGTTAATTGAGCATGTGCTTCAGTGAGTGAGTAGAAGAAGGGGGGTCACATGTTTAAAGCCATGTGTTTAACACAAAGTATTGAATTTGCACATGCTTGATAGCTGTTGAAGGTCTTGCCATCAACAAGGTTCATTAACAAGTGGTCAGCTGACCAGTGCTGAGGCCCTCTGCCAAAACATCAACCCTGTCTCACCTCATCTACTTCCTCATGATCTCCATGCATATAGGTTTTATTCTCCAACCAATCACTTTCTCAGGTTCTGTCTAGAACGCTGACTAAGACAAAAGTTTGGTTTGAACAAGGCAGTGCTCATGGAATAGTATGCAAGAGATTTAGCACTACTGCGGCATCTAAAGCTGCCAAATGGTACAAGCAACAATCTACATAAGAAAACAGAAGAAAGGCTTTGCCATCTAATCGGCAAGTGTAAACAAACTGGAACACCTTTGGACCCTCCAGCATCTGTGGAGCATGCATGAATTTGTGTCGACTAAATTTCTCTCTCTCACTCTTGGGAAAAACTAGTCTTGCGAGAACAAAAAAGTGAAAAAAAGTTAAAAAGCTTACGTGTGGCTATCTCTCTAGGTTGAAGCCAACCCCTTGACACTTTATTATGCCTCGTATCAAACACACTAAACAATCAAGGGGTGCAATCTGATATTCATATTGACTGTGTTCTCCTCAGCCATCCCTGCAATGCAATAAAAAATATTTTTTTTTCAGGCAAGCAACTTGCCTTTTTTTACTGTTCATGCCAATTCCTATTGGAGAGAGATCCAACTGAAAAAGCTGCATCTTTCTTAAATAACTTTAACTTCAATGTTAATTCATAAAAATTATTCTAAAACATACTACTTTTATGCGGAAAATTTTAAAAGACGAATAAGGACTCAAAGACAGTGTACAAACCATCTATGGAAGTCGTGGTAACTTGAAATACTATGAATTAAATGGTGCTTGCAAATTTCGTCTGTGAAATGATTGCACTGGAAGATGTGCTGGTAAATGGTGGGCATCAGAATACTACAGTTACTGCTTTTCACCCTTATAACTATGAGATTCTTCTGACCTCACCAAAGGACCGACATGTTTTAATTTATTTCTAAAGTACCGTAAGGCCAAAATAATGGTCGCATTAACTGGTTTATGAGGGATGGTGCTGGTCCCAAGTGTTCCTACTTAGAATAGTCAATCCAGAACAATTAATCAGTTTGACCACTTGGTTCAAGTTGCCTTAAGAATATATTGAAAGTTGTATTACAGATTGCGATCTAATGATGAACAGTTGCTGAACAAGGGATGCAGCTGAAGACTTCTCATAATGCTAGCTTGAGCAGCCTCCCTTCTTTGCCAATTGTTATTTTCTTCAACCCTGCATACCTTTCTGTGGACCTCTCTTTTCTTGCACTTCAATGCAGAAATATCGTGAAAAGTTCAAGCTCTTGTAAAACAATTTTTCCTGCTAGGTCCATGAAAAATGAATGAATTTAATTTTCGTGTGTAGTAAGGCCACATTTTGGACAATTGAAATTGCAAACTGTAATGCAATAGTAATCATCTAGTATAAAAGCAAGACTAGTATTTAGATACACTTATGCTCTGATGTGAACTGGAGAACATTCTAGAAAAAGTGAAGTTTAGACTGCTCTAAGTATAATAGTATGTGACAGACTGTCACAGCATGTTGCTATGACATTTTTATTCATTTCTGGCCTCAATACATAGAACATACAACTCATGTTTTTTTACAGCTGTTTTATGGAGATCTAATACTAAACTGCTGTTTGTTGATGGTGCTTGAGTGAACAGTTATGTAGAAGCACAGCCTGTTTGTGGTACTATCAACACATCTAGAGTTAGTGTACGGTGTTGCTAATATAGGTTTAATGCTCATATGTGTCCTGGTTTTTTAATTTAGCCAATTCACACAGTCTATGGTCACGTTGGGAAAAGGGCACACAGGCCCCAGAATCTAAGCAAACATGAACTGTATGTCTTAAACGAATTAGGCGTGCCAAGACACACCGTCAGTTTCAACAATTATCTTGGTGCTCAGTATCCGAGTGTTACGAGCGCCGGGCTAATCCCCCCGAGTAATTCAGTAGCGTTTCCGGGCCGCGATTGAGTAGTTCTGAAAAGATTTTGCTGCTCAACGAGAGCATTTAAATTGCAATTTGGCGACCTGTAATATGACTCGCCCCTCGTTGAAAACGCGTTTTAACGGCGCCGCCTTTGGATGTAGTGATGCCGGCTTGGTGTATCGCTGATGTATCACTCACTTTTGTTGTACTTGTGGCTGGTTCAGCAATGTGGCTTCGTTCGTCATAGGAATGAAGTAAATCATTAGCCCGGCGCTGTGCGACAAAATGAACATCATTAGAATTTAAGTAAGCGCAATCAGTGTTCAACCGTTCGCTGACATGCATATTAAGGCGTAGCCTTTGTTCTGGCGGTAGCACATCTGTTGGCGCAGGTGTTGGGAGAGACTTGTCTCTGCTTTCGGCCGAGACAAAACGCTATGAGAGGTCAAGTAATGTAAAATTTTGATACGCAATGGTGCCAGTTGAGCACATTACAGGTCATTTTAGTTAGCGGATAGTTCATTTCAAAAATCACCCGGCGCTTCGCCGGGGTCGCCGACAGTGTTTTACTCTTGTGTTCAATGAACTCATGACAAAGCCGTTTATTTAATGCATCATCTATCACGTGGTGATTCAATCTTGGGCGGGAAAGCAGCACCGCAACATTGCTGTCAACTTCAGCCGACTCGAGCGTGAGTATTCATCGTAAAGCCTTTCTTGGCTTTCAAATGGCGGCGTGGAAGCTGCCAAATTACGCAGTTCGAAAGAACTACCCATGAACTACGTAGCATTAATTAATGCGCCTAATGGGACCCCAAAAACTAAGTAATTTCACTCGTTAATGCACTGCACGCGTCTGTTCTTTAGTGAACGAGTAAAACCACGCGCCGGCCAGCGAGAAAAACAAAAAAAAAAAGCACACTAAGCTACTCGTTTGTGTCTAGTACTGCTGATCAAGGACAAGTACCCTGAACAAATCCTGGTAATTACGGGGTACTAATAATGCTGGAATAACGACAGGAAGTACACGTATTTTAGGGCGAGAAAACTGCCTCGACCGGGGCCAAGGCCCCCCCCCCCCCACACCCACGCCATGAAAAAAAAAAAAAAAAAAAGATGCTGCCTTCGCGTCTCTCTGCCTTCGCGTTGCAGCTGAATGTGATCCTCTTGATTGTACTGTGAGCATAGCAGTATGTTTATTCTATTTTCCAACTAATTTGACAGTTATGCCTCGAGCATCAAGAGTTCTCACGGCATTATTTCTAGAATTTGAAACTTCATACGACTTCTCGTGCCCCTGTCAGCGTCCGGCTTATCACGGCATGATTCACTGTGGTCTGGCAACTAACTACCTTGGTATTTAGAAAACATTTACTACTGCCACAATAATCCCGAATTTTCAATTTCTATCACTCAAACACTTTCATAATTCGTACAAAATATTTATAAGCCAATTCCTAACCGACTTTTCACGCCACACAAGAAAAAGAAATGAATAGAAAGACCGGGACGCCAAGTAATTCAACCAATGAACGGCCTCGCTTCGTTCACGTGACCTTATGGTATATAAACGATGGTCTAGTTGACGGACACCTCTTAGCGTGCCGTCGTTGTGGAGTACGCGTTGTGTTGCTAGTTAGCTCAAATGGCGGACGGAGATCAGCAAGGGAATTATGGGGGTGGAGATTTTTCAGCTGATGGACAGTACGGCGAGTATACTGACGGCCAGTTCACTGACGGTCAGTACCAGCAAGAAGGCGAAGCGAATGCGCAGACTAACGAAGCCGCCCAAAATGGCTCCGACGCGAAGACTAACGAGGACGAAAGGTAAATACCTCGTTGTGCCGAACGAGTGTCATTTTTCTGATTTTTCAAGTGTTTGCAGAGTTATTCTTGACGTTTAACATATTTTTAAGAGTTAATCGTGCGGTGTAGTGTGTCATTTGCGCTTGTCATACATGGCGTCGGTCGCCCCCTTTGTTCCTCTCGAGCGTTAGCGCCATTTTGTCTCAATCCTCTGTAATCCTTCAGCTCTCTTTGTCATCGGTGCCCCAATGCCTGCCCTGTCGACGGTTCTTGGTGCTACGATCATCGTTTGCGAAGTATTTTACGATTACTGTGTGTCCAGTATATTTCGTTAATGACGCCGGTATCGATCGGCATTCCCGCCCATTGCATTAAGTGTACTGTGACGCTTTCATGCATGCGCGTTTTCTGGAGCCTTGCTACTGTTCTCTGTATGCAATGAATTAACACATAGTGTTAAATTAATGGATTCTTTACAGATAATGGTGCTGCTATCTGGAGGTGTCCCCGAGTAGTGTTAACGTAACGCTCCTAAATCGGCCGGAGCGCGGGGGCCCGTGTCTACGGTGTAGGGCTCGCGCTGTGTCGCCCATGTCGATGGATGTTAACGCTGCTTTCATTTCCGACAGGTGTGCCCAGCTCATCACGCCAGGAACATGATGCGCACCGCTGGCACAATGGTACATTTGCTGAGTTTCTCCAAAACTAAGCAATGTAATCTGTGCTACAACTTCGATGACTTCAAGCGCCTCTAGACGTGCGCCCAATGTTTTTTTCTCTCCCCTTCTCTCCCACATGGAGGATTTGCCGAAGTAGTTCGTCATTACTACCTCTAAGCAAGATAAAGAAGAGTAAAGCCTCAATTGCAGCGACCCTATACTACTAACTGGAATGCCATTCTCTCAAAGTGTCTCAATTTGCAGTTGCTGCCATTTTGTAAGCTTCACTTCTTGCTGTAAAAGTCTGCACCCTGTAAATAAGTGTTATGTATGGCTTTTGTGTGGTCTGGAAAGTGTAATAGTAAAGGTAACGTAAGTAGACTCCTTTTCGTAAGCGATCTAGTAGCCCTTGTAAGCCGGCAATTGTGTGCAACTGTCAATTTGATCCCCTCTTTCAGGAAACTCTTTGTTGGTGGCATAAGCTGGGACACCGATAACAGTAAGCTATTAAGCCGGCGGCCTACATGCCGTCCTTGTTTAGCCTGCAATATCATTGATCTTGTATATTTTTTTTTGCAGAGGATCTTCGGGAATACTTCTCGAAGTTCGGCGTTGTCGTTGATGTCAACATTAAGACAGATCCCACGACAGGAAAATCCAGAGGCTTCGGTTTTGTCACATTCAATGCTAAGGACGCGATCGAAGCTGTGAGTTTTCGACATCTTTATTATTGCTAAGTTTTCATGCGGGTGTATGTTAATGCTTTGTGATATGCAGGTGCTCAAGGCAACGCCTCACACTGTCAAAGGCAAACAAATCGACCCCAAGCCTGCGAAGGCGCGTCCTGGGATCAAAAAAATATTTGTTGGCGGATTGGAGTCTGACATGCCAGAGGCTGACATTAAGGCCTACTTCGAGAAGTACGGCCCCGTGAGTACTTTAACATTATTTTCCAATTGTAAGATGCGTCCTCTTTCGCTTGCAGTTGTCGGTTGAGCTCCTTGTCTTTCGTCTCGAAAGCTCCACTGCAAACTGAACTTTGATCAGGTGGCCGCATTAACTCGTACAAGCATGCAAGTTCGCATTGAGCGTCAACTTCGTGGTAGTGTAGTTTATCACCTGTTTTTGTGCAATGAAGTGTTCAGAAGCTTGTGGTTGCTGCTATGACAGCGTCTGTTCAAATTAGACCTCAAGTTTGAATGACGCTTCAAGTGGTAATGCTGTGCCAAATATCGCTTTTGCTTCAAGTGCTGTGCTCAATTTTCTTCGTTACTTACAGAAGTTAAATTTTTGGTGTAGGTCGAAAATGTAGAGCTTCCGTTTGACAAGGCAAAGAACCAGAGGCGCCAGTTTGCTTTTGTGACATTTGAGCGAGAGGACTCCGTGGAGCTGGTCTGCCGGGAGCCGAAGCAGAAAATAGGCAACAAGGAGTGCGACATCAAGAAAGCAACACCAAAGCCTGATGCCAGAGGCATGCGTGGTGGATGGGGTGGCGGCGGTGGCTTCGGCGCCGGCGCTGGTGCACGTGGTGGGCGTGGAGGCAGAGGCGGCCGTGGACGAGGTGGAGGTGAGGTTTCACAGCCTTCTAATGGCTAATTCTATTGAGAGGACCAGTAGTGCAGTAAGGAATGGAGGGGCAGAGCAGGGCCTTGTTCTTGATGTTATTGAATGTTTAAGACTGCATTTTGTTCAAAACGGCCTCAAAGTACTCTTGCAATCTGTCGGGCGCATTTCTATTTTCCTAGTATACAGTATGTTAGCATTATTGCTCCCATTCTGAAGGCGTCCAGCTGTCATTGTCATCCTTCAAACGGCCTCATTACAGCCAACAGTTGTGCCAAACTGCACATAATTGCTGGCATACTTGCTGGCTTAAGTAAAATGACTTCAAAAGTCTCTTGACTGTTTGACTGTGCCTACTCTACTTTTAAGCAAAATGCACAAGCTGTTTTTGCTGCAGCAAAAGCACTCTAGACTATTGGATGGCTGTGCTCCTTGCATTTATATTGTAGCAGCTCTCATAAAATGCAGACAAAACAAGAACATTCACAAGACTGGAACTAGACATCCAACTAATCTGTAGGTTTGATTCTTTGTGCTACAAATACGAATGCAAGTGATCCACACAAACTAGCTGGCATCACAACTTTGGCCACTGAAACTCGCAGGCTTTAAAGAGCACTTCCAGTGTGCTTCCGAGTGCTCCTGCTCTCCCAATAAGATTCCAGTTTCTGCCACTTTCGAGTGGCCGTACGATGTTAACCGCCATGTGCTGCTCTATTTGTAGGCTTCCAGAACCAGGGCTGGGGCAACCAAGGAGGCTATGGAGGTGGCGGCTACGGCGGCGGCGGAGGCTATGGCCAGGGTTATGGTGGCGGCTATGGCCAAGGATACGGTGGTGGCTATGGTAACTACGACTATGGCAGTGGCTATGGCGGAGGCTACGACTACACCGGGTGGAACTATGGCGGCGGCCAGGGGGGTTACGGAAGTGGATACGGTAGGTAGCTGGGGGTTTGCCGGATGAGAATGTATATTTGCTATTGTTGCCGCTAAGTTGCTTGTTCTTTTATCGCTGTGTAGTTGAATAAATGTAGCCACCCCTGTTCTCGACCCAGAGCTGGTGCTTGTGCTCTTTGTGGTGGTGGTAGCAGTGCACAAGCAACTTGTGGTGTAGTCAGTGTTGTTCCCTAACGCTACCTTAACGCTGTTGGGACCAGTGTTAATGCGCATCGGCAGTTGACGGCGGGGTCATAGTAGTATAGTCGGTGTTCTAACGCTCGCTACCGTAACGCTGTTTGGGGCCACTCGCATCGCCAGTGGGAATGGGGTTATTGCCAGGCAATTTGCTCTAGGCGTGGTGGCCCTGCCTTCTCCTTAATCTTACTTTCTGTTGTTTGCAGGCCAACAACAGAGTAACTACAACAAGACGCGCCGCGGTGGGGGAGGTGCTGGTGGTGGAGGCT